ACGGACGAAGAAGACGAGTGATTAAAAGGAGGAGAAAGAAGTGCAACGCGCTCTCTGCCCCCTCCGAATGAAGGGGGAGGCAGAAAAAGCGCGGCAACTTTTGCGATCCACGGTGCGTCGCGATGTGTTGTTGCAACACACCGACGACACGCCCGTCGCATCTCTATTCAATATATAATAGGCCGCTCCTCCCGCACACACACGCGAGAATTCTGCTGCGAAAAATGTCTCTTTCTCAGGGATTTGGGAAGTTGTTGATAAAAGCGAGGCCGCTCTCTCTCTAATCTGGGAATCTATGGGATGTACAAAATAAAATCGAGCTCTGTGGAATTTGACACGCGGACACGATACGTTATTGGGAGAGTACGTGTTCGCACGGGTCATGATGATGTGAGAACGTAAGAAGTTGTGAAGAGACCGGTGCCTGAATTTCTTCTCGTTTCCTTCCGCCGCAAGTTTTATCGGAAAAATTGCCAATTTTATCATATTTTTCTCATTATTGTAATCTCTATAGATCGTCTGACCTTATCAATTAACATAACGGTCATTCTTCCGTTTTTTCCGTTTTGTGTTACATAATATTATTTGTAATACACGTAACAAGAAAATAAGCAAGTGTTGTAAAAAAAAAAAAGACAAGATCGATCGGACTTCTCTTTTTTGAAGAAGAGGATGAGCGCGGGACGGGAACGAAAAAAGGAGAGACAAGAACAAAAAGATAGGCATATTGTGTGTTAGTCGTCGCATCGATTGGCGATCAGCTGAGGAGAGGATTCCCGCCATCCTCGCAATCAAACTGGTTCCCGCACCGGAAAGTCTTGGCGGGAAACGCCGACCAATGGTAGCGTCGCTGTTCGCCGGTTGGAATGCCGTTCGGCGAAACTTCCAACAACGTTTCTGGGAACAAGAAGAAGAAGAAGAAGAAGAAGAAGAAGAAGAAGAAGAAGAAGAAGAGCCGGAGAAGAGAGGAGAACATTTGCATTCACAGCGAGATGCTCGTTTAAAGTTTCTCCTTGCGCGCGTATACATACATTCGTACGTCAGAAACACGTACACGCACAGTCCGGACTGCTACTCGGCAGATTATTGTCCGGTTTTTGACCTCTCGTCGCGACTCTACGTCCTTTCCTTATCGACGACATCTCGCTCGACCGCTTCTCATGAGAATCAGGACGTAATGAGGTACCAGTAATAACGAGGGGAAGTTTCTTCTGGGAGGTCGATCTGGCACTTCATACGTTCATCACACCGAATATCAAGTATATGCAATAATCTCTCCCCCTCTCTTTCTTTCTTCCTCGGGCAATTATTCGAAAAATGATGAAGAGAAACAAAACCAATGATTACGTGTAAAAAACCATTATCATTACATAACTTGTAATTATTTCATCTTTGAAAAACTTTCTTCTTTCCGCGGCGGTTGTGAGAAGATCGCTCTCGATCTGTTTATTATTTTTCTGATTAGCTTCCACGCGCAAACATTGTTATCGGTGTTCTACATCGTTTTTTACGATATAAACTTCCTGGAAAAGAGCGCAGTTCAAACATCATCACCGGTTATCGCGACGCGGAGATAAAGTTTAAAGTTCGCCTGTGAGCGTGACGTCTTCTTTAATGTGCGAGCGACAGAAATGGCGCGTATATGGAATATCAGCTGCTTCCTCACCGATTTCAGCTGGGAATTCAGCACAATACGCGGTTTTGTTTGATAACAAAAAAAAACTCTAATCAAAGTAACTCTTATCAAAATCTAAAATTCGTGACTTCTGCAACGATTTTCTTATCGTTTTCGCTGTACGTCGATTTCCGGTAAATAACGTTTATTCGTTTCCGATTATGTAGACGGGATGATATCAACAAATAAATTCGCGAAAAAGAACAAGTTATTATTTTTTTTAAAATAAAATAACTTTTGTTTGACTCACTTCTGCGTCGTAGCACTTCGTAATCTTTTCTAGTTCTACGAATTGTGCTTCGTTATACTATCCATTTCAAAACATCCGATATGTCTCAAGAAGTACTAGAAGTACTAGATGATTCTGACGCGAGTAACGTATTTCTGATAAAAAATATCTCCGAGACACCACCACACACATCACAGAGTTAACACACACGATTACTTCGAGATATACATTCTATATTAATAAACAACAATTAACGTTATCAGATTGAAGAACAATGATTCTCATATCGTCTAAAAAAAAAAATTATCCATAAAGCAACTTAATAATATAAAATTTCAACGCTTGACTATTAGGTGTCAATTGATTGCGAAGTGATGTAAAAGTGATCATAAAGTCAAATGACAATTATAGATCGCAATCTAACTCGAAGTGTTTTCCTTCGGTGGAATGTGCCGCCTACATCTATGACTATCAAAGAAAGAGATAGAGTTCCCTCCGTCTTGTCTACATCCCGTTCTAAAAAAGTAGGTGTATCTACATACTTCAGACGAAGATTTTCCTTCATCTAACTTCGTCGTAGATCGAAGAACACGTTCTACAAGAGTTGACTTCGTATACTTCCCTTCAACGCAAGATAAATAGACGCGATGAGGAGGGGAATGAAGGCGGTAAAAAAGAACGGAGAGAAATATATACGCGGGTGGCGGGAGATGGGAAAGAACGTGGTTGGCCTTTCTTGAACCGTCAAGAAAGGCCCTTAGAGGAAAAGAGAGCATCCCGACGTCCACCAAGAGAAATAAATTCCCCGCCTTGGAACAAAGAAAACCTGCTTTCCCACTTTCTTGATTATACCAATAAAGCCGCGTCCGTTATCGTGACTATAATATAAAGACGGGGAAGGCTTCAACTTCAGCGCGTCTATTACGCTGCGTAGACGCGTTGAAGTTCAAAGCCTTCTACGTCCATTCTACTTCACGATACATCGCTCGAACGAACATCTAAACGAAATAGTTTTTGCTTTTAATGATAACAAAGTAAAAACAATATACAACGACGCCCTTCGATCAACAACGTGAACATATTTCGCGTGATGTTTTGCGAAACAAAACTCGCATTACCGTAAATCGCGAACGACGATCCTGCAAGGAGGACAAAGAGCGTAGGTGTGTGATGGTATCTCAAAGCCCCCGGTATCCGGTTCTTTCTATCATCGGAGAGTTTCGAGTATCCCACGTTACTTTACACCCTTAGCGGGTTCCCTCATCCAAAATCTAATACGCGTAATTAAATCCGCACGACCACCCTCCGAGAACGGAAACTGCACTCGAAACTGCGCTGACAATGAACGCGCGTGGAGATCGAAGTTACAAGTTGAAATTCTTACGGTAGAAGGAAACATTGAGCAATTTTTTCTTATTTTATGGTCAGCAAGAAAAATGGTTGAGTCTACGGAATTTTTCGTCCCATCAACAAAACGTTTTGTTAGCAAACCAAAAATCTTGATAAGCTCAGCAAATATGTTTTTGCTGCCCATATAGTAACTAATTTTTTGCTATTCTAGCAAATCTTTTTTTTTCGTTTTCGTCATACGAGAGTGTTCTTTATTTCGCGCAACGATGACGCGCGAATGACCCATTGGGCGGAATATTATTTTTCTTCTCTTTTTATAGCGCGGAAACGCATAAATGTCGCAGAAGATACCGCGGGAGGCGCAAAGGCTTAGGCGACTGTGTGCAAGGGCGTTATCGTTTCCCGCCAGTTTCGGATCGAGAAAGAAAGCTAAAAGAGCGAAGAAGAACTGAGAGAGAGAGAAGGACGTGGCATCGAAAAAAAGAGCGGGACCGCGCCGCGCCTTGTGTCTGGAGAGTCCGAGAGCGCGGGCTTTACGTCTGGATTTCTTGGGCGTCTGGTATCCACCACCCGAGGACACGGGCCGATATATACCGACGTGAGTCTAAAGAGAGAAAGGATCCTTCTGAGATACCGATGAATGAACCCCGCGTGGTATGAATGGCGGGAATTCTCTGTGGTGGCGGTGTAACGAGTGAAAAAGCGGGGTGGGTCAATTCTCAACGCACACAACCGCGGACGCGACTGCGAGATCGTACCGAGATCGTGGCCCTACGAATTAATAATCGTGCGACTAATTCTAATCGCGCGCGCAGAGGAGCCGCCGCGTTCGGCCGTTCAAGTCGGTCGAATAACGCGCGGCACACGTCCCAAAAGAAAGAACGCGAAGAGAGAACGTGCCGGGAGAAAAACCGGTAGATTTTCAGATCCGCCGACTTAAGAGATTTCGGCAGCTGCGCTAATAGCTTTCGCTGGTTACGGTAAATAAACATTGTCGTAAACGCTTTTTTTCTAACAAGTTTTAAACGCCTAAAACACTCCAGTCTTATCCCAATCAAATTAATGTCCCGTTAAGAAAATGCCCCGCTAAAACCGTTCTTTATTTTGTGTGTGTGTGTGAAACATAATAATAAATTTAAACTTAATTATAAATTTTGAATAATGAATAACGGGCTCTCGAACCAATTGCAGAATGTTATGCATTAATTACAAATCTCTTACAAGTAAGAGTTAATCCAAACGTTTCAACTTTATTATTAAGTCATCATCAGTGGATATCTGGTTTACATGATATAGAATATTATAAAAAATTATTAAAAAAAAACTGATTACAATCTTGGGAACAAATAAAATCATATGTTAACAACAAACTCACCAAATCTTACAAAACTATATACAACATTTCTTTGTTACACATGATTGTAGTCTACTATCACCTGTATGTGTGTGTTCGTGTGTCACATGTGTGTCGAGACTGTGTAAGATAATCTGTACGATGTTGCGCGAATCTCTATTTTTGAACAGCTTNAGATTTTATCTGATCAATGTAGGNGGAGTAAGAATCGTCAAGCAGTACCGTATCCTGCATAACATTAATTGTATTATTTTTTAATTTAATATTGACCATTTCAGACGTTAGTCTTTTATAATAATTTGGTTCTTGATCTAAAATTTTAATTTTCTCCCAATTAAACGAATGTCCCGTGTTTATTTAATTATAAATAATACACAATTAATAATACTTACTTTTCGCTCTTCGAACCGTTCATCCGATAAGAGGCGCCAAAGCTACCTGAAATCAAAGAAAAAGAAGAATTCGTTAGATCGCGAAAGAGATCCATTCCAGATCGGATCTTCTTCGCAAAGCAAAACAAATCTCACAAGGCGAAGAGAGATTCGCAGAGGTTCTTTGGTTGTGTGTAGCGCGCGAAGAAATCACGACAAGCGTGTTAAAGTCACGCAGAAGACGGAGGAGAGGATGTACATTAGCGCACAAAAGATCCGAGAGACCGGTAACCGTGATTATCGGAGAACACGTGTTCCCATTCATGCGGTGTATGTCATATGGAGCCCGTATTTACGCCCCATTTCCCTATTCTCGCGAATCCGCGTTGACCGCAGATGAGAACGACAGACGCGCGCAAATGCATATCATCATCGGAATATTATGATCGTCGTGAAATCACCGCGTGCGCGGATCGTTCGTTCGTACGGATTTCGACATTCTTCTATCCCCGATTGCAATCGATTTCCCCCCTCTCCTTTGACAAACGTATCAGACAAAACCGCGACGAAACAACGATCGCCGTAAGAGCTCGTGAAACATCGTCGCTCTTGCCATTCATTCGTTCCACGGTCCAATTATTGGAATTGCACCGCAATGTTCGCCCGAGCGAATCCACCACGCAAGTGGCAAGTGCCTTTCGGAACATATATTGAAATTCGAGAATTGTCGAATGTTCGCGCGCACGTGCGCTCCATGTGAACACGAAAACCGGAAAAGATTGTTTCCGCAAAGTTCCCTTCGTTCGTTACGGGCGATAAGTGATACAATAATTTACCACGTGCTTTTGTATGTACAAAATTGTTTTTTTGGCGATTTTCTACGTTAGATAATAATCGTAATATTTGTAAACACAAATATCTACCGCGACTATACACGCGTTGACTTCCGTTCGTTTTTTTTTTTTGCGCAAGACATAGGCGCGCAACGGAGTCATCTTCGTCTCCCACGTGATGCGAGAGACCAGTTAGCAGTCAGACCGGAAGAGTACGAGACACGGAGGGACCGGTCGCTTAATCGTTTCATGTCGCGCCCAATAAAAAGACGAGGGTTACAGCTTTCACCATCCTCAATATAAACGCGCGACGTTAAAACGCGCGGTTAAACGTTGCCGCGCATTTGATCTCTATATATCAGTTAAAAACAAATTAACTAACAAGTTAAAATATTAAAATAAAGTGAAATCCAAACGAGCTCAAAAAGTCACTGTAACACGTTCGACGCGAGGTGACTACGATTTGTGCGCAACGCATTCACCCGTTCGAAGTTTTTGTTTCTTTCACCATCGTCTGCACCATCTGCTGCGAAATGATTTCATTCCGAAGAGAATTTTTCGAGGCGCATCTCGAGCGTCCGGTTCCAAAACCTTGATCGAAAGATGACGTTGGATAAAAAGAACGCCGCGAAGTTACTCTCGAATCGTCTTTTTTCGCCGTTTTCTCGGAAATTGGACTGCAGCGGTCACGCTGACCGATGTCTATCTTGTGGAATGAATAAGGTGAACTTTTTCGAGAGAACGGTCTCCAAAAAATAGAATTGAAAGTCCGGTCGCAAACTGGTCCCCGAGAAAAGGACATTTCTTTCTACACAACAGAGGAGAAACTGAATGCAACAGAAAAAAGTATTTGTGAAGAAGACGCATTATTGGCAAAGGTTAGGTTACAGGTAAAGGAGTTAAAGAGACGTCACTTGACATTCACTAGAGACGGCACGTGACGCCGGGAGCAAAGAAAGACGGGAGATAACCGCGAAGCTGCGACTCTCTCTCGTGACCAAACTTCCGCAGGAAATAGACGCATTCGCCGTGACGCGCACCCTCGCAGTGTACTCGCTGCTATTCCCTTCGGTTATTTCTGTGCTCGCCGAGCGAAGCGAGTCTCGGCGCACTCGAGGATGATGACGCGAATTTCCGACGACGCATTAAACGCGAACTTGAGTCGAGAGAGAAACCTCAGGGTATCCGAACGTGTATCGTGTTGTTTCGTAACGTTCCTTCTCGGTCCGTTTCCCTCATATCGAATACGTGTATACTCGCGCGTGTATACCCCACTGCCTCTTTTTACCTGAACAAGGGCAACGCGCGAGCCACACTATTATAGCCTCTCTCTGCCTACTTCGCAGGAGTATCAAAGGGAACGTGCGATTTGTTAGCAGAGGAAAGAGCCGTAGTCAATATAAAAGTCCCACTTGTGAGTTGGTCGCGCTGTGTAAATGTATACGTTACCTCTCTTACAAATTGAATTTACATTCAATCGAAACTTGTTTCCTTAAATTCAACTTCGAACTACACGTGTACGTGTACTATTTGTTTAACGCTTGTTTAACTTCGAAATAAGTGACAACGTCACGCCGGCGTGAACACGCTTTTGTATCATTTCACTGAAAGTCAATTGCGAACGACATGTCGCGGTTCCCCGCATTAATTAACGCGACATTCCTCCAGGCGGCTGCGTAACATGTGCAAGTATACGTACGCTTCAACGGTCGCGTGACTTTCTCTCTCTTTCTCTCGGGCTCTTCTGTCTAAGAGCGACAAGCGACACAGTATGTGGCAGACAGACCAAATCATAATACACTAATACAGAAAGAGAGAGCGCAAACAGAAGAGAGACAGAGAGTATTGGGAACAATTCTAATTTTAGAATTAACGCCGCACGACACGTTCGTTTTCTGAGGCGCGCGAACGCGCCAGCCGTTTCTCGCCGCCGCCGACGTGGGGCCCTCATGTGCGATTAAGGGCACAGATCCCGCGAACGCGGTTAAAAATAAAAGCCAGAATAAACTTCGTTCGTATCCCCGCGCGCGCAGAGAATCCTGACAGGATGCAGCCATGAAAATACTTGCTTCGGTAAAAAAAGAAACAACTCAAGATGCGCGTTCGTACGCGCGCGCGCAGTGAGATCTATTAACTGTTGTGATTAAACAAAAAACATTCTAACTGTTGTGATTGGGAAATCACCGTAAACATTTCGTTACGCTATAACTTATCGGAGAGATTTTTTTAATGATTTGTTGTCTTTTTTCTCTCGAAAACCATTCATTTAACTACCGCGCCCAGGTCAAACGGTCGGTGAAGCTGATAAGATAACATTGACCCATTTCTCGGGTCTATATATCTTGAAACCGCAAGACGCGTTAAATGGCTGAAGTTCGACTTCTGGTTCCAGCATTTAAATCTTCTCGCTTGTCCATTCTTGAATGAGAATTACACAAGTAGTAAATTTAATTTATTTAATTTTTGTTTTCACACACACGAGATGTTCTAAATAATTTAATATAAAAATTTCGAAACAAAAAAATATCGAAGAAATTAAATTAAGATTCATGTAGTTTCAAACCAACAAATTTTAACCGCGGTAACTTTGCACAAACATTTTAGCGCATCGGTAGCTCACATTTACCCGGTTAAAAATTCTTCGTTAGTTTAAAAATATCTAAAAAATATTCTACAGATATCTAAAACTATCTGTAATTATTCTCCTCGAAGCGCAGATCGAACGATTATAGGTCTACAAAGAGTTGAACTATTACGCTGTATTACGTGTGACGAACACGCAAAACGCGCTCGCACATATAACGGTACCCGCACGTGGCGTTCACGAGCCGGTTAACCGATAACCTATCGACCGTCACAATGCGGAATCTCGCTATTGGTCGAAGGGGGAGAGAGCAAGTTACTAACACACCAGCCAGCCCTTCCTCGTCCCTTTCGCAAGTATGCACCGCGTCGTGTCGCGATCACAAAAGAGACACATTCGGTCATATGTGCGTGTACGCGTGTATTGCGACAACACACAGAGGCCGACTCTCGCAGTAACCGATATCACAATCAGCGCGTATGTATCGCGCGTTCGTAGTAGGTTCGTTGACTCCCGTGTGTCTTGTCACTGGCGTATGTATACGCACATCGCAGCCAGCGTTCCACCGAAACACGTCACGCATTTAAAATCGTAACTCGATGTCACTTCAAATCAACGCGGAGCACGAGAAAGGGAAAAACGGGAAGACGAGGAAATGCGGGAAAGGGTGTGAGAGAAACCCGATTTCGTCTGCAACGTCTCGCGAAACCTTCTTCTTCTTCTTCCCCGCCCTCTCCCTTCTGTTTTCTCTCTCTTTTGGAGCGAAAACGTCGGTCGTCAGCTATATATCCCTACGACAATGCACGACGGCACGAGCCAAGTCGAGGGGTTGGGGTTGCGCGGCACCGCGCGCACACGTTTCGGGGGTACGTAGATTACGCGCGCGCGTACATGTGTGCACGTATAAAAAATATATATATATATATATATATATCTACAGGGGTGAGTCGTCGCACAGTGTTCAACTACGCTGTGCCAGGTGGTGACTGCCGCCCCATGTGTGCTCATATGTCTGCCCCCCCAAGTGGCGTTTAGTTCGCCGCTGGCGCGAATATATATGTATATGCATGCGAGAACGCAACGCGCGTCACGCTATACGCGCGCCGCCTTTCATTTCCTCGCGCCGATGCCGATTCCTTGCCTCGGTTAACCGCTTCGATGGGGCGTGATCTTTGACCCGTCGCATTTTTACGGATCCTTTATACGGTTCCGTTTGCCCGGGTAATCGCGCCAGAACTCGGAAAGATTGTTCGGTATTTGGCAATTGAGAAGATTCGTGGTCGGAATCTCGAGTATTTTTTGTTTTTTGCGATTAAAAAGAGCGTAACGCTGTTGTATATTTTTTTTCCTGCGATATTTATAAACTGCTAAAAAAAAAAAAACATTTTGTAAAACTTATTCGCAAAAGCAGCACGTGTTCAATATCGTCTAATTAACAAGACACTTCCTGACGATGTTATACGCAAAACTTGTCGTTACCGAGGGGCGTGCACTATCCGATATCGATTGGCGCGGGGACCGGTCCAACCGGCGCGTGCCACACGTGGTTGCGGACCGCGCCACGAAAACCCCAAACGCGCGAGCGATACGTGTGTGCGTGCACGCGTGTAATTGAATTTCGACGGGGAACGAGAGAGCGATTTGCAGTGT